ATCAACCATGTTCTTACATTTAATTAAGTTCAGGTTCACCATGATAAGTTTGTTTGAAGAGTGACAGATCTGTTCATTGATGTGCTTAGACCTTTCGGAATCTGATAGTGGTAAACAGTTGGTTCACACTTTATGCTGTTCAGTGATTTTTCAAGTTAATGTTTATGGGAGATAAAAGTCATCTTAAAATATGACCTGTAAGTTTTAGTACATTAAACTTTATACTGCAAAGGATTATTCTCAAAGTCTATTTGTATATAACTTAGTCTGAGTGAACTTATCGTTTGATATCAACTGAATCCCTCTGACTCCTTCTGACATTGAAAAATACACGACATATTTTCACAATAAACATGTTACTGGACAATAATTTGAAATTATGAGAAATAAAATATAGAAAGAGTGAGCGAAGAAATATTTACTTTAAAATTAGATCCTCATCTCAGTCTGGCTCTACTCTAATATATATAGCATTTTTATTACAATACACAGCAGTTTATCAAACAAGTGGCGATATGTTTGTTAACAATAATTAAACAGTATCAAAATGTCAATGGGTTGATAATTAACGAAAAAAATCAATGCACATTTAAAAGGTAGAAATGGATAGAATAAATAATTTTACAAGGATAACACATAATTAAAGATGAAGTGGTCAAAATAAAAATAAAATAAATTGGACGATTATAATTTTTATAGATTTAGGGGGAGGGGGGCGACGTATTCCTGTTTATGCATTCTTGTAACGATGGCCACGGTAAGGAAAGTGGCTGTACAAATTTCTTCTGTACACATAGGCTTGGTTTCTTCTGGTGGATTCCGATTGCTTCAGCTGTATGTAGAAGACGAACTCGTAGAGCAAAGTTAAGATTAGTCGGAATGCGATACATAATTTTAAATGCAGTATTAACATCAACCTTGTGCTCAGTATCAACAAGGTGTGCTGAAATAGAACTACGAATAGATCTTGTTTGTCCCTTGCTTAACCATGTTGGATAATGTTCGGAAATACGACGATGAACCTGCCTAATTGTACGCCCAATGTAGCTGGCTCCGCAGCTGAAGTCAAACTGCTAGATACACATAGAAGAGGCAAAATTAGGTAGTTTATCCTTATTTCTCGAACATAGAATAGGGGTGGTTTTGAGGAGACAACGTACCTGTGCTGCATAATAAGCTCTTTTAACTGCATTGTTCAGGCGCTGTGTTATTATTTAGCTGATGTTGTCACCGAGGAACTGCAATTTTATGAACATTGGTTTTTTTTCGAAACTGCAGCCATACTGACTCTCCTTGGTGCTGAATTCATATTCTTCTCAATGAGCTTATCTGGATAACCATTTTTTCTAAGTAATTCTTTAATAATCTTAAGCTCCTCATTGAGGCAGTCGTCTGAACAGATTAACTTAGCTCTATGAACCAGACACTTTACCAGGTTATGTTTATATTTCAAAGGTACAAAACTCAAAAAATGAGTGTACTGACCTGTTGTTGTAAATGTGTGTGTAGCGTAAATACTTCACTTTTACTGCTATCACAGACTTCCATTTGAAAGTAATCGTCAGCTTTGACTAACCTAATGGCATACGGTACACTACTTTGTTTTTCAAGAGTTGATTTGCAAGGATTTGATTTGCTTTCTTTTCGAGTTTGATCTCGGATTGATGTCATTTGGAGAATCACTAAAAACCAGGGAGTGCTGAACAACTGTTTCATCCTAGTTTGGGAATCACCAGCAGTACTCACCCACTACGAGGCTTCGGACCCAGGACATTCCGGTTACAAAGCGAACTAGCTCGTATACCATTCAGCCACTCACTGGGACCCAATTCAATGGCCAGCCCATGAATTCTAACTTCTATCAATTCGTGATTTAGCGCGACCGCCGACCAATATCATCGGTGGGATAATCATCCTCACACTTGACTGGATGGACCTCTTACTTTAACCCCATGAAATGGGTGTAAATCGTTAGACGATATGTTCTAACCTACAATGAGACACCTACTCAATACGTGAGTCCTGATTTCAACCTGATATACTACTAACTATGAACAGCACTGAATACCCTCAATCATAAAACATAAAATACGAAAAATAACTGAGTGTAACGAAAGTAGGTGTTCGGTCACTGCAACTAAATAAACAGTACCAAATATTTTTCAGAACTGTTAACGATACTTTAACTTGTGATTCCGAAAAGAGATAAAATAAATAACCAAATGGTTTCACTGAAAAATACAGTGCTAAAAGAAATTGTCTTATTAACAAGCACGTCAACGGTCACATAAGAAGCATTCTGAATACTCATGCGCCGAAACTGACGCATGAATACCGACTAATTCTTTACACTGGTAAATTCTGGAATACCGAGTTAATCTCTGACTCCTATGTGAACTGGATGTTACGATGGCAGTTACTGAACTCTTCAGTTATCAATTCGATGTCGGCATTGTCGTCATATATAATGAAAGTATCATCCATATATCTTTGGTACAAATAGGAACTATCGATAGTAGGCCGTAAAGTACTATTCTCCAAACTTGCCAGGAAGCAGTCTGCAAGTAAAGGACCCAACAGGAAGGTTTTCGAATTCTTTGCATTTCAAATTTTTCACTCTTAGGCTTTATTAATAAACTCAGTGTTCGAATAACAGAGGCAACACGCTTATTGTGTAGACTGTTTTGACAAACTCCTAAGACTTATGAGCAACTTTTTCGATTATTCAGTATCGCAGTTATACTGTAGTGAGAACATTGTATTTATTTGCCGTCCAATGTTATTGTGCAGTTTTGTTCTTGATAATATATAAGATAACTATTGATTGCTGTAACCTAAAGATTGGCACTGTCTTAAATGGTTGTTATAAGCAATTTTTCAAACTGTACAAGTATCATTTCAGGCTTTTGACTATCCATGTTCCCTAATTAAATAAAAAAAATAGCTAAGTTGAAGTGCTCTTAGGCGCCATTTAGTGTTAGAAGAATGTTAGTATGATTTGAGTTTATTATGCTTTAAGCTTGCCAAGCTTGAATACTTTCGTGGTAGGCAGAAGCGAAACAGCATCAAACAGACAAGAAACTGCAGTCTTCGTCAAAAGCGCGTTCATTAAATACCGCAAATTCTTGATCATGTTCACTGTCAGTCTCTGTAATAAAGCTTAAAATAACTAAAATAGATAAACAACAACAATACAGAAATAAGTGGCTTGCCTTAATCTCGTGATTGAATCACAAGAAGACGTCTTATGATGTAAAGCATTCTGCTAAATCGCTCAAAAATATACATCATTATTGAATTAGAATTTTAAGACAGTCATTCTAATGACTTTGAATAGCTAAGCAATATGCCCTATGCAGTCAGTCTGCGGATAACTATGTTTGAACTTATTAAATGCTAATAGGTCAAGTGTTAGAGGGTGTAACAGACCCTATCAAACCATTTGTGTGCTATTACCCTACATCCTTTCACGTAAACACGTTTTTGGCCAAGTTAAACTTTAAGCACCACTGACTACCAATGGAGTGTGACCACACCAATGACCTTGAAACGCTCACTGAGCGAGTCAGTGAAACCTGGCAGATAATGTTGTCATCATCAATAAAATATGCTCATCGAAGTGTCATGCTATTAAATGAGATTTCTAGCAAGAGTCAGCTCGGGTTTGGGAAAGATTAAGTTACTTTTTAAACCAAGGATAAGTTAAGGTTAGGTTAACCTAACACAGGCGACAGTAGGTTTGATTAGAATTACATTACAGTTAGTTTATGGATATTTTAACATTAGGATTAGGTTCAGGAAAGATTTGGGTTATTGTTACGTTTAGAAGACCTAAATAATTATATGCATAGAATGTGGTTAAATTACTCTGTTGGTATAAGAATAGAACTTGTGCACTGTGGTAGAGTATAACTCCATATTGGGTAACATTTATTTTGATAAAGACTCACTGTGTTATACAGTCATATTTACTGATGACATTTCGAGCACAATTTATTGCTCAAGAAATATTACTATATGACATTATGAGACTTTATCAAAATAAATTTTACCCACAATGGAAGTTTACTCTGTTGATACTCCAACATAAAACTGAGAGCCAAGGACTAGCATGCGTTCAAGGTCATTGGAGCATTCGCACTCCTGGAACGCTATTGTTGAACTTCGCTATATGTATTCCATACACGAAAATGCCTCCTTCAAGTGATTGGTGCGTTCGAGGTCATTCGCTGATTGGTAGTTAATGGTACTTAAAGTTTAACTTTGCCAAGTTTTTGAAGTAGGCTTCTATTTTTATCCATAAATACCACAGAGTGAGTTCACTTCTCTTTTTCTGTCCTTAATGAATACAATGAACTCATTTTTAGGCTTTTTCAGTAACGCTGTAAGGATACATTGACGACTACTTCATGAGACTTAATTAGTGATGTAAGATAAATCTCATGTAAACAACATATGCATATATATATATTGCTTATTTCAAGGATTTTAGGATATCACTACAAATATTTTCTAAAGTGCATTTAAAAGTTTCACATACTGAGGAATGAAATCCGACTTTGATATTTAGGAGGAAGAATAAAAGCAGATATTTAAAGGGTTTTTCCATCTGTTTTGAGGCGAATCAAAAGCATGCAGCACTGAATGGTCGAGAGTCAACAGAAGTATTCATTCAAGTATTGTTCTGCAGGAATCTGGTTTGTTTGGTTACAGAAATTCAGCAGGTATAGCAGGTTGTGCGTGAGGAGAGATACTCTCTCTCTGATGACATTGACCAGTAGTAGTTGTGTTACATCGTGAATTGGTAGAAGTTGGAATTCATACAGTGGACACTGGATCGAGTCCCAGTGGCTTAATGGTCTTGAAGCTCACCTTGTAACCGGAATGCCCTGGTTTCGAATCCTAGTGGTGGGTGCGTACTTCTGAGGAGTCCCAAGCTGGGACGAAACAGGTGTCCAGTATTATCTTTATTATGTTTCATGAGAAACGCATTTTGTTATGACCCAGTGAACTTGTGACAATCACTCATACCTGTCGGTGCAATGATTATGAGGACTAATTATTGTTTGGGATAGGTGAGGATTACCGATATACTCGTTCTGTTATCTACCTCCTACTAAATCTCATTGAAATATCCAATCTAGTACAAATTCTTCAGGATAGTTCAGCATTACTCTTACTAAATTCAGAAGACAGCAATAATAGTTTGTTTTGCGTTGATTAATCAAACCCATCTGATATATAATCAGTAATAGAAAACAAAACTTTTGACGACACACAAATTTAGCATTTTGTCTGTCTCTGAAGTCATTTAACTAGAAACTACTCTGAATAGAATTGGCTCAGTTCAAAAGTTATGTGTTAATTACATATGCACACACACACAAAAAGAAGAAGATTCCCGTTCACATAAAATGCTCACTTAATTTACAAAGAAAAGTCACAAGAATATAATTTAAAACTAAGAGGAGAACCAAAAAATAAAATATGTAGGTAAATATCCCTGAAGAAATGTTTTGTAATGATGTAATGCAAAGTTTAAGAACACACACGCACATATGCATATATGCACAACAAAAGCAGCGATAGTAACAAAACAAAAACAAACAAAAAAACAGCTATGGAAAATTTATTTGGAATCTGTACTCTTTGAAGAATTCTTTAAAGATTTAATCGCTTGCCATAACATTGAGCATATTATAGTGCCCCAAAATATATTCAATATATCAAGTACAATGCCTAAAACAAAGTACAGTTTAAAGGTGCTAGTTAAGAAGATTCTCTGTGCTTCAGTAGTATGATGATGCATGTTGTAGATAAGCGCGTACCAAAAAGGTATTGCTCCAATATTCCTGGTCAGAATAAATGTGACTGCAAACAAAGCGGTTGTCACAGCAACGTATTTATGTTTTGAAGAATATCCACATGTACGTAAATACCATCTGTGCAGAAAAATGAATAAATAAATAAATAAAACAATTTGCGATATTTCTGTAAAAATTAAGGTTATGCACAACATCGCAAACGGTGACATCAAAATCCTTATGGACGATATGCATGCTGAGCAGATAATACAGGAAGAGAACTCATCATGAGTCAAGAGGCTCTCGGAGAAATGAATGAGAACGGAGAACTAATCGCAGGCCTCTGCTCTTTCAATGATTTGGTGATTGGAGGGAGCGTGTACAAACACAAGGATATACACAAAGCAACGGGAGAGATTTTACAGAGATTGCCTCCTTCACTTATCTGGGAAGTATCGTTTCAACTACAGGCAGAATGGACGTAGATGTCAAAGCGTTTTGAAATCGGAGAGGCAAGATACGCCTTCATCAACCTGAAACCAGTTTGGAAATCTTCAATGCACTCAGCGAGCATAAGGAACAAGATTTACATTTTCAACATCATTGTGAAGTCGTTTCTTCTTTACGGGTCAGAAACTTGGCCAGAGCCTCACAGAATGGATTTCCAACAGGTTGCATACTTTCACCAACAGCTAGCCTTTCGCTGGCTCCATACTGAAGATCAAATGACCAGCTGGCCAGAAGGAATCAACAACACGAAACTCTGGTTTGGAACAAACCAACCAAGAGCCAATCGTTCAACAAATATGTAGGAGAAAGTGGAGATGAATCGGCTATACATTGAGGAGACCGTCGAATGACATCGTGCGCCAATCCCAATGGGAAGAAACGAGTGGATCGTCAGTGTGTGGGTGACATGGAGGAGAACGTCTGAAGAAGAGATGAGAGAGTTTGGTCAATCGTGGACCTAGCTGAAGAGGACGGTAGAAAACATAACAAAGTGGAACACAAGGGAACAGTAATAATATATAAGGGAGGTTTGGTTTGCTGTACAGTCAAGCTTTTGATATACTTATAAGTATTAACATATAAATTTATACACGGAGCATTTGTTTTCCTTCAAGAGTGCATGTTAGAGGGAGAATGGAGATTGGCTTATATAATATAAGTCATTTCGTCAACTGTGTGCTTGGTTTTCATCATTATCTCGTATATATTCAAATGATGTCTCTTTTATAATTTGCAGCCAATAAAATACGAGGGAAAATTCTAGTGATTCAGCACCTATCGCAGATATCTGGAAAATACTGTTACCAATAGAAGGGCAGTAGCAAAGTAGTAAAGAAGTAGGGCGATGATGTGGCATAGCCTAATTACTTTCAGTCTGAGTAAGCGCCACTTGGACGCAAGTAAACTGGAAGAATTCTTGATGCGATAGACCGCATATAACAGCATAAAATTATAAAAAATGTAATTTTATATGTTTAACTTTTGGGCCTGAAGCCTACATATAACTATAAAGCAATATTTGTTGTTAGTGACTAGCGAAAACTCTGAAGCCAATCAAATGAATACCTTATAAAAGTTTTACCAATTAATAATTCAATCTCGAATGTCTAAACAGTATATATTACTCATGTCATAAAGTGAACATGGAAGCGCTACAATAGGCGTTGTTATTAGGGTTTGTGACAAACCTACTCGAAGAGGTATGCAAACTGACTTTGAAAGCTGGGGGATCAGTGCTGGACGATTATGTACGGATAAGTTATTCTGCAAAACTCATCCACTCAGTTGCACAGTATCGCTCACTGTCCACTTGATCGAATGGAAAACTACCTCTTAAATTGAATTATTATTGCTAAACGGAGAATAAAAGAGTCCAACAAGTGTTGCTAGGTAAGGGGAATCCTTTGAAACTATCCTGGAACTCAAAGTCGAACACAATCATACTCGTGTACTTAGACTATTTAATAAATATTCTGGATAACTTTCATGGTGAGAAAAACTTTCAGTAAATCTCCATTATAAGATTTTATTTTGATAAAATTACACAGTGTTATACAGTAATATTAACTGATGACAACGTTTAGAGCACAATTTATTACTGCTCATAATATCATATCAAGTCAATCACACAACTTTTTTCCTTCATTTTATGCATGTGTGGAATTGTTTAGACATTTGAATAAAAATCAATATAAGATAATGTGCATTCAGAAATAGGATTCTAAATAAAACAAGAATGAGGGTGGTATTCAAACCTACAAACTCACTCAGGTGAGACAAGCTCTGTAGGCTAAACGACCCAGCGGATCCAATTAAACAATAAAAATGTAATTTACAGAATACCATAGAATGATTGTAAGTCAGGTAAACTACATTGGTCAAACTAGTAGATCAAGAGTATTCAGATTGTCAGAACATAAGAATTTAGCTATGGTTGGAATGGTTGACCCCACCCACGAAGATAAGCAATTTAGAGAAAAAATCTCAGCATTACATTGCACTGCATGCATTAACACACAACTACACAATCGGGTGGGTGGGAGAGAGTCAAAATTCTGATATTAATATAGGTAGGTGGAGAGAGAAATTGTTTACTGAATCCTGGTTCATCGAGTCTACACCCAACATATGCAACAGAATCGACTCAGCACAAATACCAGAGATATGGAAGATATGATTACCAGTCAAATCGGAGAATAATAAATATTGTTAAAATGTATTCAGTTCTCATTCTAACAAGTTACTTATTTTGAATATAAAAAGATCTTATTTCCCATCTGATTCTATTTGATTGATAACACTAGTATTATTTCTGAATGTACATTATCTTATATCGATTTTTATTCAAATGTCTAAACAATTCCACACATGCATAAAATGAAGGAAAAAAGTTGTGTGATTGACTTGATATGATATTATGAGCAGTAATAAATTGTGCTCTAAACGTTGTCATCAGTTAATATTACTGTATAACACTGTGTAATTTTATCAAAATGAAATCTTATGCTCTAACACAGTGCCCAAGTTTTATACTTATTTCAGTAATTCTTTTAGATTCCTTACCTGCATCTACACAGGGTCGAGTTTTGTTTACACTCCTCATATTACCAAAAATGCATCCAGTAGCTAAGCCACCATATCTGTTTTTGATATAGGCTAAACATTTAGATACAATAACAACTGGCTTGTGTGTTGCATAACTACTAGTTACTGCCGATCGAAAATCATTGTAGTGCAATATATGCCTAGTTAATTATAGCTGGGCAATGCGTTATGCAAGTGAAAGTTGTGAGTAATATAAAACATACATTGCTTAAATAAAGTATAATTATATTTCAATAGTTTACGTACAATGATAAGTTTTGTTATTGGTAATATTTCGAGCAAAATTACTGCCCGAGTTCACACTACTGTTGGAACTGTTTTGTCCAGCCAGAGTGAAAAAAATCCTCGAAAAATAATTGTATCAACCTCTTATTCTGTTTTCTTTTTCAACTTTTAGAAAAACGTTATGTTCAGGTATCAAATTTAATTTTTGCACACTACTTATGCGAATGTTGCAACACCTTCGAATGATAATTACAACAATAGAAACTGTTTCATACATATTGTACATCTATTGTCTATTCAATAATAATGACCTCTTTTCTGTGCTGATGAAAGCAAAAGGTGAGTAACACACATTTTTCAGAAGTTTCCGTTGTTTTTTTTCCTATTACTTTCTGTCTTTCAAAAGATTTCAGTTAAGTTAGAAATCTGTTTGGTTATTGCCATTTGTTGTTCAACACAAGTAGGACATTTCCAAGGAAACTCAAGGTTGATATCTTTGTTAGTGTCGTCTTAAGGACTAAATTCATACAGAATTTGTGTATCGGTCATTCCCTTAAACTACTAAAGTAGAAAGGTGTAGAGGAGGTTAGAGACAAGGAGTATTTCACTTTCATCGCCCACACTGTCTTCATCAGTGGATAAAGAGAGGCTTGCTAGTGTCGCATCAATATATTTCTTTATATTTTAAAAATCACAATGTTTACTCTATAGTAAAAGTTTCCATTTGACTTATTTTCCAATTCATTTCTGCTTACCTACACCTCTCTCCGCCTGTTAGTGTGATTTATTCTCTTACCATCAACTAAAAGGATAAATAAGATACTAGAAAACCTGTACAATCCACCTTCTCACTTACTTAAAACAAAGCGAGAACAAAAAGTGTTGATGTAAAACACTTCTGTCTGAAGGAGATAGACACCAAGGCCATACTGATGTAACATCAGCATAACGTTTATACCCAACCCCCCCCCCCCCAATGTACAGAAGATGAAAGGGACAAATGATACTTTCTGAAGAAAATAAAGATTGAATTAAAAATTTCCACTAAAAATAAACTTTCGAAGGCGAAAACATTCGCTTCTTTACCAATGGATACTCTGTTTTCATTGGGTCAAAGTCAGTCCATCTGATACAATCCTTGACCGCTAAGGAGAAGTATCAACTTTCAATAGTAGGATCGTAAAGCCCACTGGCTGAGTGATTTCTTTATATTACCTCTCAACAGTGAACTCAGAATATCTAAAAGATGGTGAGACCTAATAGAGGCAAGAGTTCAAAATTGAATCAGCTATTCTCTTAGTATCAGAAAAATAAACCCAAGTCGTGCTTTCAGTACATTGACATAGATGAACTTAGAAGTTTCGCTGACAGAAATGTTCATGTCTACTAATTAATAATATTTTCTGAGGATTAAGTAGGTAATACTGTAACAGCAGAAAGCAAGACATGGAAGCCAAGGTATATTTTCAACTGATCAAACCTTTATTCATGTCTATGCAGTTTATATTCTTTAACCGATCACTGAGCGTGTGATTTTGCTCTACATCAAACGACCTGTAACAGTGTTATAATACACACATATAATTCTGCTTCTAATGCGCTATTTTGTTTGTGACCGATTGTTTGTATCACACCACCATAATACAATGACTCAAGGTTTCTCTCCACTGTTTTTGTCGAAGTAGGTGGGAATTCCCCACTCTGATTGCTATTCTTACTGCTTCTCATAGAATGTGAAAGGAATTCTTCAATGCATTTCACATGTGTATTCTTTCTTTCAGATGAATCTTTTTTGTAATGGCCTGTTACTAAGGTTTTGGCATTCTACTACCCTTAATAACCATATGCAAACACTGATGCATAGCTCTTCGGGAGTGAACCCAGTTTTCTTTTTAAATAGAATTAATCTAAATTGTTGTCATTTGCCTAACTATTCAGCCATATCGGAGGTCCGGATGCGATTCCCAGTCTATTCGCACCTAAACCGGCGTGAGGCTAGCATTCTCACTAACTAAAACCGACACCATAGAAGCCCCATGTTCCGCCTGGAATACAAGGAATGAAGAAAGACAAAAAAGAGAGCTCTGCACCTTAATGAACTCGCGTAAAGCCATTGGACTAGACTTCACTTTTTTAATCCTGAGATTCTGCCTTTGAGTCCTAGGAGATATTTTTTAAATTAAACAGTTTTGGAATACTTTATGGGGAAAGTGGGGTATTTTAAAAAATAATTTTCCCTTGTTCATTGTCATCAGAGTGTTCCTTGAGAATAGCAAGTGACATTGGAAGCTTATTGCACGACCTAGATTTTGGTTACAGGATTTCATCATGAGCTGACATTGGTTAGAGAACCATTGGAAAACCTGGGAGTACTTGACAGCTGTTCATATCATCCTAGTTTGTGACTATTCATCAGTACGCACCCACCGGGGTTTGAACCCAAGACCTTCTGGTTACAAGGCGAGCTCGTATACCATTAAGCCAATGGGACCCGATCCAATGGCCCGTGAATTCTAACTTCTGCCAATTCACGACATAGCGCAACCGCTAATCAATGTCTTCGGCGAGTATTTGTCCTCACACCCGACCTGCTGCACCCTACTGGTCACGACTTCCCACTGGAACCCCAGGCAACTACCTACCTGAATAGGGCAAGTCGCCAGTGAGCATCTCATTGATATTCAAGTAATCTGAAGGTAGCGTGAAGTGGAGATCATTTGACCAGGGGATAACTACTTATGAACACTCCTCTGAAGCCAGCTAGAGAAGACTTCAGAAAAATGAGTGAAATGCCAATGTGCTTTTGTAGTCCACTTTTGTTCCACTCGGAACCCAATAGTAATAGTAATAATAATAATATAATGATCTTTTCCTTTATACTTCACATCTAAATTCTCTTTGAAGTAGGCATAATCAGTCCCATTGCGTGATACCTGAATAGGGCCAGTTGCCAGTGAGCATCTCATTCATATTCAAGTATTGGTTTGTAGGGATTTGGTTGATTGAACCTTAGGCCCTAGAGTCTTTCGTAACGAAAATAGTGAAAATGTCGTTCACACTGATTTCCTTCCCCCTTCAATCTAAGCAAATATTTTTAATTGCCACTTTCAGAATTTGTATCTCTCCTCTTAATTAAGTGTTTTTGTTTGCCTTTTTTTCAAGTGTAAAACTTAAAATTAATGCTGCATTATTGATATCAGATTAAAGAAAACAAGTTTCAGGAGTGTTTTGGTCAACTGCTACCTAACAGATATATCATATACTTCAAAAAGCCTCTACAAATAGTCACTGTTAACAAAAAGGCTTTTCTCATAAAGAACACTTATTGTGTATTTGCTCAAATGAGTAGATGACTTTTTTATAAAGATATATCTCGAAAATACTACTAATTCAACAGGCCAGTGTCCTTGTGATTTTAGAATTAGTTTGTTTTACTATAATGAGTTGTTTAATATTCGTGTACTTCTCACTTTCTGTTTACACCTAATCAACAGCTGTTGTTTCGCATAAATAATGCACAGTGTGGCAAGCCAAGAGTCTGTTATTTTTGAGTGAATCACACGTACCAATTACTGCACTTCTTAACTCAGTGGACCATGTGATAATCAGATTGTCACCATGCTCTCTAGAGAACATAAGTGTTGTATTTCTTCACTAAAACAGTTATATGAATTAGTAGTAGTGGTAGTATGTTGTTGTTGTTTTATTTCAAGGGGAATATTGGCACATTTGAAGAGAGAGAAAAGAAGTCAGCTGTCACAGCCAACTAAGTAAGTACATAATCAAAATTCTTTTTCAAGTATTGGTTTGTAGGGATTTGGTTGATTGGTTACAGCATTTCATCATGAGCTGACATTGGCTAGAGAACCACTGGAAAACCTGGGAGTACTGGACAGCTGTTTCGTCCTAGTTTGTGACTCTTCATCAGTACGCACCCACACCACGGGGCTCGAACCCAGGACCTTTTGGCTACAATGCGAGCTCGTATACAATTAAGCCACTGGGACCCGATCTAAATATGTCAGTTGTCATCTTTCGACTCCTAGTCATCAATGTGATTGTCTTGGAATAAGAAGCCTATCGATTGAGCCTAAGATATCTTTCCACAAAAACATAGTATTACCGTAATAGTAGTATTCAATGCTGTGTAAATTTTCAAATCTTTTTTTTTAACTGTAAAATGATAAAACAAGTAAGTCTTCATCCTGTTGGCTGTTGACTTATGAGCACTTGAGTAAAACATGACTAAAGTTTTGTGGGGAAAAAGAATATTAGAAAAAAATAACCAGTTAACAAAACCTTGTCTTCTATACTGCTCATATCCTGCTGTATTACATGATTTTGGAAATTCATTTAACAAAAAAAACAAAAACGAAACAGGCCAACAGAATTTATACACTAATAGAATGATATTAACTCATATAAAATAAATGAATACCTTATGTTAATGAAAGGAGTTGACAACTCCGTCAGGAACTTGAGGTAGGCGTAATACTTTCCCATTCGATTAATCTGAAACAGTCAAGAAAATGAATACTGTCTATAATGCAACAAATCGTCCTACTGATGAGATTAACAATGGTCATTGCAGATTAGAAATATTTGCAAGGCTTAAATATATATATATATATATATATATGTATTCCTTCACGTTCCCAATGGAACCTAGGGCTTCAAGCTAGAGGCTTGAAGTTTCCGTAGCAGTGGTGATTATTTTCACAGCATGGGGTTTCTAGCCTCATGCATAACCTTCCCTCTTTACCACTCTTGTTACTGACTTACCGAAGTGAAGGAGCACGTCGGCAGGGGATCGAACCCCGGACCACCTACGTGGTTGGTGAGCACTCTACCACTGTGCCACGGACCCTGATATATATATGGTATGAAATCATAAACTAAATGTAAGCTGGAGTAGTGGGATTCATTAATTATACTACTAGAGTTACTTTTGTAGCAATAGAAGGCAAGACACAAGAGCAAAGGTATATTTTTCACTAATCAAACCTTTGTGTATATATATATATGTTTATATATGGATATATTCTCTAATCTGTCACTAAGACTGTGATTTCGGTTTACATCAAACGACATTAAAGAGAATGTTCAAATATATATATATATCCCATTCTGTTGTTAATGACATATTGAACTGTGGGAGTATGTGAGAATCATATTCCGTTGGAACACACTTTCTGTATCACACCACCACACTTTAACTGTTAAACCATTGAACGTTGGACTCAATGAGGTTTGCCCGGTGGTATCTAAGAATATGATGATGAGAACGATTTGGTGCGTTGTCCGCTTTGATTTATCACTCTATAACTGTGTGCCAGCCTAACTCACAGCTACTTTGACGGCTAATATCTATCGGTTGTATGGGTATACACTAATTGTGTGTTGGAAATTTGAGCGCTAAACTACCGAAGTATTTTAAACAAAATTGTATAGAGGGACTTTTTGTTTACCTAATAAATTTCATTATTTGTAGCCAGATGCAGTGATTGAAAGTGGGGGAAGAACTGTATTTTATTAGGAGCCAAGCTAATGAGTTCTTTGTAACTATTACAGCAGTCTATTGATTCAAATATGAAGCTGAAGTGATAGTCTGTTTTGAGCCTATGGATATTACATTCAACAGTTATATAAACTCATGCTGCATTTCCAGCTCATAGCTCTTCATTAACTGGTTGCTTTTCATTCTTTCGAAACTGAGTAGACTTATGTTGCATTACTGAGTTAACCAGGGAAGAGTCACTCCACTTTACTTAGTCAAACTGTTAATTTACTTCACTTCTGACATTTCTGATGAATGCATTCTAGCACAAAGCAAATGAGTTACACTGTGTATAATTTTTACAAAATAATTGTGCCGTATTATATTCACGTGTGCGTCGGTGGTATAGCGGTTAGGACGCTCGCCGACCATGCACATGGTCCGGGGTTCGATCCCCGGCCACTGACGCACTCCTATACCTCGCTAAGCCAGAAATTATACTGGTGAAGAGGAAAGGTTGGACATGAGGCTAGCAACCCTATCCTGTAAAATAAACACTGCTACAGAAACTTCAAGCCGCTAACTTGGAGCCCAATGTTCCACTGGGGAACATGAAGGAAAAGACATTATATTCACGCTTCCATTATATTAGTGCTTAGATCTTGATGACTGGATACGGTTAGAAAGCTCTCTGGTAGGTTGAACGAGAAAAGTGTCTATGGAACCCATAAGAAAGTCATCTTTGTAATTTAACAACAATGAATTTACCATCTATCGGTTGAGAAAAGTGACCTCAGTAGTTGATGGCAGTCGTATCTTCGATTTAATTCACGCTATTACTGCTTCTCACTTAGTTCAGATCTTTTATTATTATTATTTTTTTTATAACACACAAATTATGTGACCTGAATTTCTCTGACCCAGAAAAAATATCCTAATCTCATTTTCTTTTCATCTTTCATCCTTGAAATATTTTCCTTCATTGATTGTCTTTCTAATTCTACATATTCAAGTTCCCATTTTTTACCATTAAATAAGTCACACACACATACAGAAACACAACTCTTTTTCTGTGTCATTCGTCAGGTAAAGACACGATTTCTCACATCCTATTATCTTAGGTCTATTTATGTTTATAGAGCAGATAATTTAAGCTCTAAAAGTGGTAAATTCGTTTTCTTCTGTTTCTGCGACTACTTTTGCTCCTCTGATAGGTCTACATCATGTGAAACACATAGGTTCATGGTATGGTATATATATATGTATATATATATATATGTACAACGGTTTGATTAGTGAAAAATATACCTTTTACTCTTGTGTCTTGCCTTCTGTTGTTACAAAAGTAACTCTAGTAGTATAACTAACGAATCCCACTACTGCAACTTACACTTAGTTTATGATTTCAAACCATATATATATATATATATATATGTATATAAATATATGTATAAGGGTCGGTGGCACAGAGGTAGAGTGCTCGCCAAACACGTAGGTGGTCCGGGGTTCGATCCCCGGCCTACGTACTCCTTTACTTCGGCAAGCCAGTAATAAGACTGGTAAAGAAGGAAGGTTATGGATGAGGCTAGCAACCCCATGCTGTAAAAATAATCACCACTACTATGGAAACTTCAAGCCTCTAGCTTGAATTCCTATGTTCCACTGGGAACGTGAAGGAATATATATATATACATATATATATATATATATATAAATTAACATCAGCAGCGAAACATGTCAGCAGATTGTGTCTAAGAGAAGAACTACATAGAATTATTATGAAACTAAATAATGTACGAAATGAAACCGAAAAAACTCAAATGTATGATCAATGACAAAGATTATGAAATAGTGATGGGAACATCCAAAAAAAGAAAATAAAGCTAGAGAAACAGCCTTAAGATAATCAAAAACCACACAAATTAAGAAATCCACCGAATTAATAGAAGAAAAGGACAGAGCAGTAAGTTTATCCCAAGCAAAATACTAAGCCGCATCATCCTGGAGAGAATCAAACAAGCCCTGGTTGAAAAACTTCGACCGGAACAGGCAGGATTCAGGAGGAACAAGTCATGCATCGATCAGATCGCCACATTACGGATCATCATTGAACAAAGCTTGGAATGGCAGTCACCTCTCTATCTCAACTTCATCGACTTTGAAAAGACCTTCGACAGCGTCGATCGAGAGGTGCCACCGAAAATTATACATCTCATCCAACAGCTGTACGACAATGCTGCATGTCAAGTAATCCACAACAGGAAACTAACGGAACCCTTCGAAGTGAGGACAGGAGTAAGACAAGCTGGCTGCCTACTATCTTCAATGGTTTTCCTGATTGCAGTAAACTGGATAGTGCGACAAACAGCGGGCAATGAGGAAACAGGCATAAAATGGACTCACACAAAAAACTTGGAGGATCTGGATTTCGCCGATGATATATGTCTGATTTCCCACAAACTGGAAGATATGCAAGCGAAAAGCAACAAGTTGGCAGAAGAAGCATCAAAGATAGGACTTCCCGTGAAAATAGAGAAGACAGAGGTAATGAATATTCCTGGGAAACACCACCAACAGCAACAACAACATCAGACAATAATCAGCATAAATGGGAGGAGTCTGAAAGAAGGAACCTCCTTTACCTACCCACCTGGGAAGCATCGTTCCAACTACAGGCGGAACTGACGAGGATATCAAAGCAAGAATCGGAAAAGCAAGACAAGCTTTCAATACTCTGAAGTCTGTGTGGAGGTCAAAAGCACTCAGCATCAAAAATAAGATCTGGATTTTCAACTCCAATGTCAAGTCAGTGCTACTATATGGATCAGAGACTTGCACTGCGCGTCATAAAGAGCATCTCAAACAAACTGCAGACCTTCATTAACAGTTGTCTTCGCTCAATACTCAAGATCAGATGGCCAGAAAGGATCAGCAGTGGGGACATGTGTGAGCAAACCAACCAGGAACCGATTGTGAAACAAATAGGCAGGAAGAAATGGAGATTGATTGGCCATACTCTGAGGAAACCATCAAGTGACATCACTAGACAAGCCATTGCTCGAGTGGAACCCAAAAGGGAAGCGGCGAGTTGGTCGTCAGTTCGAGGGCGACTTGGAGGAGGTGATGTGAAGAGGAGATGAAAGTATGTGGGTAGACGCGGAGCCAGGTGAAAACGTTGGCAGAGAACCGAACACAATGGCGACGCACGGCTGAAGCCCTATGTTCCTCTAGGAATTAAAGGAAACAATAATAATGATAATAATAATAAGTGAAGTTGACAACAACAACACTTCATCTTTTATTGATATTTTGAAGGATATTATGTTACTACTACTACTACTACTACTACTACTACTACTACTACTACTACTACTACTACTACTACTACTACTACTGCTACTACTACTACTACTACTACTACTACTACTACTACTACTACTACTACTACTACTACTACTACTACTACTACTACTACTTTTTAAGCCAACTAAGAAACTTTAGTTATTCACAAAACTTTTTATAATCTCAGAAATACCTAAATATAATTAGTGAAAATTACTTATGAACGTTCTTATATCAGTCACATGATCTAGTTGCACTTACTGGTTATTTAACAGTTAAATAAAATAACTGATCATTGATTTATTGGATGTGGGATTCAGTTGTTTTTTCATCTTGTGAATGAATGTAAGCAGAAATTCGGGGATAAACTATCAACAATTTTACATCTTAATAAAGAAAAACAGTTACCGTTTTAAATAGTTTCAATGAAGACTAAGGCGAATAAACACTTTACGTCTCTCTAAGTAAGCAAACTTTTAGGGTTCAGTGCAAAATGTGAATGATGTGATGTTGAACAGACATTACTGCATCACTCACTCCAATATAAGCTCGTCATAACCCTTGGTGACATCAGTAAAGTAACCCCTAGTCAGCTGCCAGGTATCATAGGTCAGCTAGTACTCATAACCAGTTTTACTTTTGAATGAATGTAATCATAAAAATGAATATTTCTAGCTTCTTAATAGAGTACTTAGATAGAATTGCATGTTATTCGTAGGACATCAGGAGAAACCCAATTTCTGAGGTAATCTTATATCACGTAACTGACCTTAATTTTAAGCACGTACTAGTTCTTTAAAGGACACTTTTTGGATTAATATTCATATAAACTGACAAAATCATAAAAGCAGTCACAGAGAGAGGAAACTTCACTGAATGAATAAAAGTGTTCAAGCATATCTCATCATTCGTGATAACGCATAAACGAATTTCAAATTTTAAATAATTTCAGGGATATTTACGTTCGGGTTTATGGAGATTTCATTAATTTCAGGGTAAATTTAATCATAACAGCAGTCAGTTGGAAAGCAGATGAAAAACATGTATTGTTGAATGGCTGCTTGAGCCCAATTTGAGAGTGCCTATTAGTAAGCACTCATCACCACCATGCAAAGCAGCAAACCCATTACCTTCAGTCTACTATCAGCAGCCCTGTTTATCATTATCACTAATCAAGACTTTGTAAAGGTCAACTACAAACCAAAATGTGTTAGACCTCAACAAAAAAACAGTCTAAAGCAAACACAATTCTACATCTTGAACATAAAAATGAAATAAGCAATTTAGTGAGGTAGGAAAATAAGCCTCCAGTACTGAAACATTAAAAACCTCTTTTTAATGTGCAGTGTTCAGTCTTTTGAAAGTGTGTCTGTTTGACATAATTACTAGACTTTTATATGACAAGTGCTGAATTTAAATTTGAATTCATCTCCTCTGGTGTATATAAGGTAGAAAATTGTGGTAATCCCTCAAATACACATAGTTCTTCTTAACACAGTACCTAATTCCATAGAGCGTGACTGAAATATCCTGAAAAGTCTGTGGCTTACAAATGAAACGTTAAAATGAACTCTCAAATCTCACTATGGTCTTATTGTTACCTGAGAAACCATTAAAAATATTGACTGTTCTACACACTATGTTTATTATTATTGTTTCCTTTAGTTTCTAGAGAAACATAGGGCTTCAACCACAGGTCTCCATTGCGTTCGGTTCACTGGTAACATTTTCACTTGGCTCCACGTCTACCTACATACTTTCATCTCCTCTTCACATCACCTCCTCCAAGTCGTCCTCGCACAGACGACCAACTCGCCACTTTCTATTCGGGTTCCACTCATGCGATGGTCCGGCGTGTGATGTCACTTGATGGTTTGTTCTCTCAGAGTATGGCCAATCCACCTCCATCTCTTCCTGCATGTTTGTTGCGCAATCGGTTCAGACTGGGTTGGTTCGCTCCCAGAGATTCCTATCTCTGATCTTTTCTGGTCATCTGATCTTGAGTATTGAGCGTAGACAGCTGTTGATGAAGGTCTGTAGTTTGTTCGAAGTGCCCTTCGTGACGCTCCAAGTCTCTGATCCGTATAGTGGCACCGACTCCACATTGGAGTTGGATTGGAGTTGAAAATCCGGATTTTATTCATGCTGAGTGCTGTTTATGTTCACACAGACTCGAGAGTATTGAAAGCTTGCCTTGCTTTCATGGTCCTTGTCTTGATATCCGCATCAGTTCCGTCAGCCTGTAGTTGAAACGATGCTTCCCAGGTTGGTAGGTAAGTAAAGGAGGTTCCTTTTTTCAGATTTCTCCAATTTGTGCTTATTGTTTTCTGTTGTTGTCGTTGCTGTTGGCGTTGGCCAGGAATCTTCATCACCACATCTGTCTTCTCTATGTTCCCCTGAAGGCAGTCATATCTTCTTTGGATGCTTCTTCTGCCAACTTGTTGCTTTTCGCTTGCATATCTTCCAGTTTGTGGGTAATCAGACATATATCATCAGCGAAATCTAGATCCTCCAAGTTTTTTATTTGGGTCCATTTTATGTCTGTCTCCTCGTTGACCGGCCCGCTGTTTGTCGCATTATCCAGTCTACCGCAATCAGGAAAATCATTGGCGATACTAGCCTTGCCTTACACACTGAGTTCACTGACATAAAAAAGATTCTTCTGCCTCCATCGACTGTTTTACTATCATAGATTGTTCTTTTTCAAACTATATAACTTAAGCGAGCAGGAGTGGAGTACATTGTTAGTTTTAGTGATCCAGTTGCAGAAACTGTTATGTATTATTGTTTAATACACGTAACCTAGCGGTAGAAATGAGTAGTACAGTAAGTACTATGCTTGCCAAATTCTCGAATGCACCAAGTGTGCATCACAATGAAAAGAGATATTCAACTCTTGAAAATGAATCAGTTGCAACAACTGTTCCCTAGTTCATTAGTGCCCTATGAGATGTTCAAGCTAGTGGCAGTTATAACAATCAAATCAGCTTTTGAAGCTATGCTTCTTATAACTACCAAATGGATAGCTGACAGCTAATGAGACAGTGATGAACTGTTTAACTCCAGTCGAAAAAAATAACCCAATCAGTTCATTTTTTTAATATTTTAGCTATGAATCACTTTCTTCAACTTGTTATTGTTGGTTTGCAATATATAAGCAGAGGTGTGCACAAAATTAAACAAAAACTGTAAGCAATCAACCTACCAATAATTCAGAACTTCCCCAAACTACAACCGAATGATGAATAAGAAAAGTCCATAGTGAAGCACCTTTCATGTACATAATCATCGTACAGCAGTCTGTCCAACAAAAAGAATCAGTAAAATAAAATATAATGTAACATTCGTAGGCGCACAAAAAAACTTACATTATTTGTGGAATTACTGTACTATATCTGACCTGAATAGAAAGGTGACTGCCATCTAAGATAGTATGTTCATTTTGCAATTTAGATATATATATATATATATATATATATATCTGCTACCCTTCTAACTATCCAGTAGACTAGATTTGTGGATTTTCAGAAGGTCACAGAACAGATCCTTATTTTTTATGAGATCCAATTAAAGATGACCTACAGAATTCGACTGCCGGCAATTTCGCCTTTTAAGCAGACATTCATCCACTCAACTTTTGATTATCGCATCACATACACTTTCGCTTTGAATATATCAATTCAATAATGAATTTTGAAGAAAAGTGGTAAGCTTTTTCCTGTCAAATTTCATCGTATGACTACTACGTATGATCAACTGTTTGTTATCATCATTTAATCTTTACTTCTGATACAGCGAAACTTCCAACTGGGAAAGCTCAGCCTGGTCTTAGGTTCCCTCTGATTGAGTTTGTGAAGGAAGCATAACAAAGATTTTCACTATCTACAGTCAAAATAGTCACAGAGTGATAGACAGTTAGTTTTGCAGTACATTCATTATTGTTGTACTTTATCATAATAAAGAAAGTATAATTCTTATATGCAATTCCATTGTTCAGCATCGCCTTCCCTAACGAAAATGACAAGAGTAGTTGGAAGTAGAAGGCTGCCAGACAAATTGATCTACAAACTGTTTGTACGCTGGTAATATCCGGTGGTGTGTATATATACCAAAGACAGGCGTGACTCCCAACAAACTATAACACGATGCTGCACAGTAGAATGAAACTCGTAGCAGTTGTATACCACTAGCTTGACTAATATAGTATCTAAAGTTCTAGGCTCAATAATATTGCGTAGACTATGTGGTGCTCGGGAGGCATAAACACGAGAAAACCAGGCAGGTTACGTATGCCTAGTCATCGCCTTCCTCGACAATGGGCAATGTTAGCTGATATAGGGTCAGGCTAGAAAAGAGCTAGCGGCGGTCAAACCAAAACATGGCACCAGTCAATGAAATCTACAACAGTTAGTCTAAGCCACGTAGGAAGGTGTAGACTTCTGTCTGGTTGGGGTCCTCGGGACGGTAAAAACCAATGGTTGGAAACAATTGGTGACATGGCTCAAAATCGTTCTCAATGGCGCAGATGCATCCACTCCTTGTGACTCATGATTTCCAATGAAACTGTTTTGTCCTTCGTTATTACTATTCCTTTGTCTCACACCTCTGTTTACTAACTCTAATATGCATTTCTCCTACTTTCTTCTCTTGCTTTGTGTGCTACATGGAGTGTGGCGACTTGAACTGCTGCACATTGGTGCAAGGTTCTATGTCGAAAACCGACTGACAGACAGCGCAGAAGTCAGGATGTGTGTGTGTGTTATTCTTCTGAATTAGATAGCTATCTCGTAGAAAAAAAAGAATATTTTGAAAGCTATCTTATTTTCAATAAAGTTTCATTAATTTTTGATTGAACACTAGCCAGTAACTAGTATAATTTGTGTGTCTAGTCATATCTTTGGTGCACGCTGAATCCCTTGAGTCGAGTTTGCTGATGAGTGCCAACTAGCACGAAACCTAGGTCCAACGCTTCTTCTTGCCGACTGTCTCCAACCATATAATACCCAAGTTTAATTAAAATGAAAAACTGATTTTTTTATACACTTCCAATAACTGCTAAAAATGTGCTGGAAAAATAACCGCAGTATAACTGTGTCATTGACACAAATGAATGCCGCCAGACTGTTTCACAAACCAAGAAAAAGAGGCATTTTATCGCATCTGATCAATAAATACTACCATACTGAGTTGAAACGTTTTCAAAAGTGTATACTGTTGTAATCTGACAAACGTTGAAAACTGCTACCCACTGATAGATTGTTTGATGTACTAGTCAGTCGAAAGCATACAGTTATTCTATTTTTAACACTGTTTGAACCGCCGTCACTGTAGATATCGAGGACTGAAATTAAAGCAAATTACTTCGTGACCACAACACTTCAGATTTTAGCTACTTAACATGGCAGACAGTTGAGCTACATAAGTAAAATCACACAGAAAAGAAAAGCATTAAACGCTGACACGGTGTGTGTGTTGTTTTGCTACACAGGAAATATAGCTAAGTTGAAATGATATCCTAAGAGCAGAACAGGAGTTTCAACAGTATTCATGAATAGAGAACAGTACAGCAACAAGTTGGCACAAGAAGCATCAAAGATAGGACTTCAGGTGAACATAGAGAAAACAGAGGTAATGAAGATTCCTGCGCAACACCACCAACAGCAACAACAACAACAGACAACAATAAGCATAAATGGGAGAAATCTGGAAGAAACAACCTCCTTCACATACCTACCTGGGAAGCATCGTTTCAACTACTGGCGGAACTGATGAGGATATCAAAGCAAGGATCGGGAAAGCAAGGCAAGCTTTCACTACTCTCAAGTCTGCATGGGGGTCAACAACACTCACCATCAAAAATAAGATTCGGATTTTCAACTCCAATGTCAAGTCAGTGCTACTATACGGATCAGAGACTTGCACTGCGCGTCATAAAGAGCATCTCAAACAAACTGCAGACCTTCATTAACAGTTGTCTTCGCTCAATACTCAAGATCAGATGGCCAGAAAGGATCAGCAGTGGGGACATGTGTGAGCAAACCAACCAGGAACCGATTGTGAAACAAATAGGCAGGAAGAAATGGAGATTGATTGGCCATACTCTGAGGAAACCATCAAGTGATATCACGAGACAAGCCATTGTTCGAGTGGAACCCAAAAGGGTGGCGGCGAGTTGGTCGTTCAAGTGTGATTTGGAGGAGGTCATGTGAAGAAGAGATGAAAACGTGTGAGCAGACTTGGAGCCAGGTGAAAACGTTGGCAGAGAACCGAACGCAATGGAGACTCGTGGCTGAAGCCCTGTGTTCCTCTAGAAACTAAAGGAAACAATAACAATAATAATACAGAGGAATTGTGCCATTTAGAAAATAAGTTAGAAGTGACATTCGATAACTAGTAAATCTTGCAACGAATGAATAATCTTCGCACACTTTTTAATCAAAACGTACAATACGCCTTGACATATCTCTGGCAGAGTGGTTCTGAAAACATTAGAACATATATATATGAGCCTTGATGCAGGCAATCGACGTGAAGCAATGGACTTGGCTTTTCTGTTTACTAGCCCGTATCAGCAAGACCTATGTACAACTTTGATTCAATGGAGGTTCCTTCAAATATTTTAACCTGGCGTCTCTTGGTGCTATAGTCAGCGGTGTTACAGCTGAGTTACTCACGGAAGGATCTCCCCCTGTATGACTCAGTTGAATCTATAGATCGTCCACTGGGAAGGAATCACCCTGATGCTGTGTAGTCCTTATTGTTGATCGAATCCTGTTGATTTGGTAAAGCGGTGCTCTGTGACTGCAACATAGGGTAATTTCCGTTTCAATATAACTGACATTGCTGGCAAACCTGTCTGACTCTCACTCAGTAGCAGTAACACTAGTAAGATTAACAGCAAGTTTTTATTCCCCTCCGATCACTGAACTGTAAGCCTACCGTTGACGCTTTTATTGGTTAACGCATTAGTTAATGTCACATCTGCTCAAAATTAAATTATTTGTTAAAATGTCAATGAATACGGAAGAGGAGTTTGTAACATTCACTGTCAGTTCCCTTTAGATGTTTACATTGGATAATATTAGCCAATAATAATAATAATTTCTATTCGTTTCGCTTTTTGTACCGTTTTCACAAACAAATCTATCCCACAGTGACCTTCACCTTAGAAAGAGAATAAATATACTGCTAGATTTTGAATCGAAAATAATCAATAGTAAATAGCGAATCGACCGGAAAAACAAAACAAAACAAACTGAAAGAATCTAGCAAAAATGTAAATTTGCTTACCATATATCATATAGCCACAGGATATACATATCCCGAAATCGCTGAGGGTATCTGAATAGCTAGATTGGTTGATTCGTTTGTGATTTGCAGTGAACATTGTTGTTTTCAGCGCACAGTATGTTTGTTGTGTTTTAGATTTTCGCCAGTTATAAGCGTAGTTGAAATTGAATAGGTAAGGGAAGGGAAGGAAAGATGGAGAAGCAAGTGAATAAATTGGGTGAATACTATTTGAAAATAAGGAGGATAGGGACAACTCATGAAGTGATATAACGTGTTCCTTTAAAGTATAAGACATTTTCTTTTTTTTGGGTATTATTACGGAAAACGAGGCGACAGATTAGGTTCAGTCAGCCTCTTCAAGTCGGAAGTTCTGTCTTACACAACCACTGCCCTGGTAATCTGACTCCTCAAAGGAACATATTTGTCGAAGGGCTGTCATCACTGATGAGCCCAGCATGCTTGCGTGTGCGTCACCATCGAAAATAAACAGAATGAAGCACAGTTTATCTGATACCTAGAAAACTCATAAATATAGTTTGTATCTCTTATAAATAAACTTAATCCTTCCAAATGTCAGACTGTTAATTTCAATTTCCAATGTAAACGAAAGTTAAATGAAGCCGTTGGTTCCTATGACCCTTGCAAAATTGATGATACTGATATAGAAACCAAGTCTGAAGTTAAGTTTCTTGGATTAATTCTCTCTTCTGACCTATCCTGGTCCTTCCATGTCTTAGCGATTTCTAAAAGAATATTTCATCTGACTTTTTACATTAAGAAGTTAAGGCACTCAGGCATATTTCAACTCACCCCTTCTCACACAGTTTGTCAACTCGTGTATTTTACTTATTCTTCTTCACTGTTCACCCTTATTCTTTCCTGGATTGCTTACAAAAGACTATGCCATACTTCGTAGAACTCTGAAGACTGTCAGTAGGGTGAGTGGTATTCCATTGGGCCATATCATTGACATCGTCATTGATATAGGCACTTGATTTCATGCAACAAATTTGCTAAAGGAATTGTGTCAGACTGTGAGCACCCACTCTACCCGCAGCTCCAACCTTGTGTCTACTCAGGTAAAACAAGAAGTCTTTTCAGAAGAATTTATGCACGTACGTCTAAGTATAAAAATTCCACTATACGATATTTAGCACGTACTTTATTTGATGAAAATAGTGTTAGGCATGAACTAACTAACCATCTTAGCACCACTAAATAAACCATTTCCTCCACCCTTAAAGTATCAAACTTTATTGTTATTGTATTTCTTATATTTGTAATCCTCTCATAAGTGTGGACATAATTTAAGCTGTATTATAACTGCTAATTTTGTATTTCCCCTCAATATACTATATCAAGAGAATATTAGATCCAATAATCTATAACATGCTAAAGTTTCCAAACTGAATCGACAATACCGTTTGAAACAAACTCACTATTATTATTATTATTATATTATTTAATAATCTCAATTCATGCTTCGAATATTTTTGACTTTATGTCGTAAACGTGGACAAATTCCTCCGGTTAATTTTGTTTTAATTTTTAATTTTATTTATATTTTGAGTAAATCAGATGCAATACTGTGACAAGTGCTGAGAATTCCATTCTGCATTATAATTACTATTTTGGAATAAAGTAGATTATTATTATATGCACAATTCATTAAAATGATATTTTCCAGGTGTTTAGTTTTAGGGATTTGATTGATTCTAAGTTCGACTTCGTCACAAAAAGAGACGTCAGTCGGAGAACTGCTGGAAACTAGGAAGCACTGGATATCCGATTCGTCCCAGTTTGGGACTGTTCACCAGTAAGCAACCACGATTTCACTGTCCTTACATCTCAAGAACTAAGACAAGCTATGATTCACAAGATGTATCGTCAACGGGCTTGACTTGGTTTCGGGTGGCCAGTTCTGGATAGTCCCAAGCCTGGTCTAACCAGTAGTCCAGTGCTCCCGGTTTCCAACAGTCCTCTGTTTCTAAATAAGCTTACCCGGTAAATGTTCTTTTCCAGTTCCAAAATACCATGCTTTTGTTTCCCATGCACGCACACACACATACACATGTTCTTCGTTCGAAACTAACCCACATTACAGTCAAGCGCTGATTAATTACTACACATTAGTAAGAAATCACCTCGATTTAACTATCCTATACTAGTCACGGTGAAAAGGGCTAGCCCAAATACCCACAACATATACATAAAAATGGATTCATACTAGGTATTTTGGTAATTGCTTGAAGTTGATCACATACAGTTCAGGCCTTTAAATATAAACCTTCTCTCTGAAATACCATACTAGGCGGCATACTTACTCAATAAACGCTCAATATATATATTTTTTTGTCTTCTCGTGATATTTTATTTTTAAAAAAACATTAAACACTACTTGTCTCGCAATAGATTAACGCGTGATTTTTCTCTTCTTTTTATTATTTAGAATACAGTCAACAACAACAAGAGAAAAAATGAAATAACACAACCTTATTTGTCTGTCCAGTTCTCTTTTATAGACGACAGAAAGAATTTGGATAAATAAATAATCGATACAGTGAATCAATAAATCTTACAATATGATACTAACTAGAACGACCAGTTCACATGTTTATGCACTACTACTACTAATAGTTTATTATCTATCTATCATTTATGTGTCAGTTAGGTAGAATAAACGTCAGAATTTCTTTTTTTTAAAAAAAAAACAATCCAGCTAATGTCACAACTTTGATCAAAATCATATGATAAATTTAGATGATTAAACAGATCAGCAGCATTATAAAAATTACGAAGAAATAAATTGATGCACTGCTAGTTGCAAACAAATACAAACAAAATAGCAAGTTGATTTGCTTAGTTAGTGAGGCTTTGAACTCTGGAATTTTTATGATCCAGCATTCCATATCATATCATTGGCATTCATATATTCATTTTTTTTCCTTCACGTTCCCCAGTGGAACAGAGGGCTTGAAGTTTCTGTAGCAGTGTTTATTTTACAGGATGGGGTTGCTAGCCTCATTCCCAACCTTTCCTCTTCACCAGCATTATTTCTGGCTTAGCGAGGTAAAGGAGTGCGTCAGTGGCCGGGAATCGAACCCCGGACCACGTGCATTGTCGGCGAGCGTCCTAACCGCTATGCCACCGACGCACACATATATTCATTGGGGCTGAGAAAATAAATGAAATATAAAGTCTGAACTGGTAGAAAAAAGCAACAGGTGTTCAACACACCAACCCAGTTGTCTTCAGTAATAAATGAATACAGAAGACTAGATAATTTAAGGTATGATGGATGCATTGACTGAAATTTTGAGAACACAATTCACTGCTGAGCTAAAAGACATGTAGGGCCCGGTTTAATCAACCTGTGTCTACTTCGAGTAATGCATGAACCTGGAACTAACAGAAAGTGAATTTGAACAAAGCAAGAACTACAGTTTTTGCAGAATAAAGTGGTACCATCTTTTTTATTTCGTTGTCTTCTTGTCAGCAGCTTACAGGCCAAAAGCAATATTAAATATATCTACAAAAAAACAATTTTAACATCAAGCGCCTCAAACCTGATTTGTGCGTTCAGAAAGAAACAGTTTTCAGTCTTTCTTTGCCCTGGTGACTGGATATTTTCATCTCTCTTTCATCTGAATGCGTAATACTGAAAAATTTCCATTGTGTATGCATATATTGATCGACTGATTTTTTGTTTGAAATGAACTCTGTGCAAGTATGTTAAAATTGTTTTTGTAGATATATTTAATAATGTCTTTGGCCTGTAAGCAACTGACGAGAAGGCAATGAAATAAAAAAGATGGTACCACTTTATTCTGCAAAAACTGTACTTCTTGCTTTGTTCAAATTTATTAAGGGGAATAAATGTAAGAAAGTAAATTGCTGACTCCTGCGTTGCCAGTGTTTCTCTTGATAACAGACTTTAAGGTAAGTTGTAATCTAGTGCTGTTTGTAAATTCAATTTTCACAGGCTATTGTTTTTGAACAAAGTCACTACAACCTCTAAGTCAGCAACAGTATAGGGGAATCTATGTTTCATTTTGGTCTGTAGAGATAGGACTCAACCTAAATAACACAACTAAAGACATTCTAAACTTTTGAAAATCAAATTTTTCAGAACATTCAAGGATATGCCCACACCGGAATCATCCCAATGCAATGCAGTTGCATAGCAGACACTGTAGTTTGAGCGCACAATCAGGAGATTCTCATTTAATGAAAAGAGGAAATTCATGCTGAATTATTATTATTGTTCCCTTGGGTTCCTAGTGGAACATAGGGCTTCAACTACACGTCTCCACTTGCTTCTGTCTTCTGCTGTCCTTTTCACCCGCAAACACGTTAGTCCATACTGTTTCAACTCCTCTTCACACGATCTCCTCCATGTCACCCTTGGACGTCCCACTCGCCGCTTCCCTCCAGGGTTCCACTCGAGCTATGGCCTGACGCGCAATGTCACCCAACGGCCTCCTCAGCGAGTGTCCAATCCATCTCCACTTTCTCCTGCATATTTGTTGAGCGATTGGTCCTTGTTTCGTTTGTTCCCATAGTTTGTTTCTTGTTGGTGATTCTTTCCGGCCATCTGATCTTCAGTACAGAACGAAGATAGCTGTTGATAAAGGTCTGCAACAGGCTGTTGGAAATATTCTTTGTCACCCGCCAAGTTTCTGATCCGTATAGAAGAACTGACTTGATGTTTGCATTGAAAGTCCGAATTTTGTTGTTGATGAAGCTGAGTAACGAAGATTTCCAGATTGGTTTCAGGTTGATGAATGTGTTTCTCGCCTTCCCGATTCTCGATTTGACATCCTCGTCCGTTCCTCCTGTAGTTGAGACAATGATCCCTAGATAAGCGAATGAAGTAACCTCTTTCAAATCCCTCCCGTTGATGGTGATTGGCGCTGGATGTTGCTGCTGCTGTTGTTGTTGTTGTTGGTTGGTTATTTTCATAACCTCCGTCTTGTGTATGTTCACCTGGAGTCCTGTCTTCACCGGCTGCTTCTTTGACCAGTTTGTCGGTTTTCGCTTGTAAGTCTTCGATTTTGTGTGCCATCAAACATAAATCATCCACGCGCGAAATCCAGGTCTTCTAGGTTCTTCGCGTCCGTCCAGGATATCCCTGTCTTCTCGTTTCCCACTGTCTGACGCATAATCCAGTCCACCACAATTAGGAATATCATTGGTGATAATAAGCACCCTTGTCTGACTCCTGTGTTTACTCCAAACGCTTCGCTGAGTTTTCCGTTGTGGATCACTTGACATGTGCCGTTGTCGTACAGCTGTTGAATAAGGTTGATGAATATTTGGGGTACGCCGTAGTACTCGAGTAGTTTCCAAATCACTACACGGTCAACGCTGTCGAAGGCCTTCTCAAAGTCTATGAAGGAATTTGAGGTAGAGGTTTGATTGTTATTCCATGCTTTGTTCGATGATGACGCGTAGAGTTGCAATTTGGTCAGAACATGATTTCCCTATCTTGAATCCAGCCTGTTCTGGTGCTGTGCTTAAGTAAACTGGTAATATTTACTTCACAGGAGGTCGTGGTCATCGATCATATTTATTGTATCCGAGTTGTTGGTAACGTCTCATCAGGTCACATAGTTTATGGACGAATACGAAACTTGTAGCACTCCATCAACTAAACCAAAACTCAAGTGTTATAAAATTTCTATAAAATAACTTCTATTTGTTGTTTTTTCAGAAACACACTACTCCAAAATAGTTTTAAACATGGTTGAAGGGATTTCCATCGGTTGTAATTCAGTTTGACCTGTGACATCTTGAAGAATAACGTCAAGACGGACGTAATACGCCAGATATTTTAATTTATATGCACGATCTTCCACGTACAAATATATATTGTGACAAGGAGGGAAATGAGCAGTTTCCAAGCAATGAATGTCACTCTAATGTGCAGATATACTTGTTTACCACTTTCCAGACACGATTATTGTGTTTTTAAAATATTGAACAGTTAATATATATTGTTTTTCTATTGATCATCTGTTAACCTATTGATTATGGTTTGATTTTATGCTTTACATGTGAAAAATTGAATTCAGCAATTCTAACTAACTGACTAACTAACTAACTTAAGCATAAAAGCCGATAATCAGTATAAAACATTAGACTCGTCTACTGTCTGGGACTGTCGATTCTAACTTTGTTAAATTATTTAGGTTAGTTTGGTTAGACACAGAAATAGTCCCACGATGTTGTGTCAGATATATGTAATCATAGCAAATCAATGCAGGACACTACATGCAATAGGCGCCTATGTTATCGAATAAATTTATCCCTAAATTCAAACTTAATTGAATTTTCTTGTGTATTTATGAAATCTTGCGAGGTAATCCCTGTTTCCTTCTACCGAAACCATAAAAATAAAGTGCTGAAGATTTTGTCTAGTAAGACAATGAAAGCTTCTCAGGCCATTCAGCTCAGTGAAAGCAACTGAATCAGCATCGAAAGGTGTTTGATAGGCATCGGTCACGCAGCAGTTTAACTCTGGCCGAGGTTTCAACCCTAGAAATGAATGTCAAGATCTATAAATCACAAAGTAATAAATATGATAGTGATAAAACAGCAATACAAATTGTGCATAACAGGCAGATATGCATGAAACAAACTTTAAACTGTTGAAATTGTATTACAAGAATTTATCTTCAAGCATTTTCTTGTTAAACAGCAGGCAGTAAACGCTGATCAATAAAATGAAGATGGAATGCACTGTTGAAAGCAGCCTGTATACAGAGGGAAAGAAAACAGATAAGAGAAAAAATTAGAGTGTCATATGCTTGTTTATGGTTTTAAAACAGTTTAGCTAACATTGAATAAAAATAATAAATGCTATCAAGGTGGTTCAAAGGTAGGATACTCTTCAGCCCCTTGGAAAGTCTACATTCAGGCTCCCGACCGACGCACTCTGATACCTCTCCTAGTTTTATTGATATAAGGATAAAAATTGGGCATTGTGGTAGAGTATAACTCCATTATGGATAAGATTTTACTTTGATAAATCACAGTGTTATACAGTAATATTAACTGATAACATTTTGACCACAAATTATTACTGCTCATAATCTTATCAAGTTACTCACACAACTTTTTCCCTTCATTTATGTACATGTGTGGAATTGACTAGATATTTGAATAAAAATCAATATGGGATAATGTTCATTCAGAAATAATAATATGAGTGTTATTGATCAAATACAATTAGATGGGAAATAAGACGAATGTTTTTATAGTCAAAATAAGTAACTTATTAGAATAGTTATGATGTACGTGAAGTGAAATAGAATTTTAAGATTATTTATTATCCTCTTCTGACTTGACTGGTGGTAATAATATCTTCCATATCTCTGGTATTTGCATTGAGTCATTTCTGTTGCATGTGTTGGGTGTAGACTCGATGAACCAGGATTCAGTAATCAATCTCTCTCTCCACCTACCTATATTACTTCTCAGAATTTTGACTCTCTCCCACCCACCCGATTGTGTATTTGTGTGTTAATGCATGCAGTGCAATGTTGTGCTAAGCTTTCTTATTTCTAAATTACCTATCTTCGTGGGTGGGGTCAACCATTCTTACCTTAGCTAAATTCTTATGTTCTGATAATCTCACTACTCCTGATCTACTAGTCTGACCTATGTAGTTTACCTGACTCACAATCATTGCAAGGCATTTTGTAAATTATATTGTGTTGTTTAATTGGGCTCACTGGGTCGTTTAGCCTACAGAGCTTGTCCCACCTGAGTGAGTTTATAGGTTTAAATGCCACCCTAATTCCTGCTTTATTGAGAATCCTACGGAAGATTTTAGATGTCTCCTCCTTATACGGTAAGACTGTAGAGGGCTTATATTCTCTCTTATTTATGTTATCATTACTAGTTTTGATTTTGGCCTTTACTGATCTTCCCAATGAATTTTACAGGATATTTATTTAACACCAACGCCTCTTCTATCTGTTTCATTTCATAGTTTAGGTGTTTTGTTGTACTACTTAGTGCTATTGCTCGATCTGTTAAACACTTAACTAAGCCTGCCTCTCCTAGTTTAATAGCCAGTAGCAGAGTAGAAAAAGAGGGAAGGTTGGGTGTGTGACTAACAACTCATCCCGTTAAAACAACACTATCGCCACTGAACTTCAAAGCACGAAACTCTGTGTTCCCCTTGGAAGTCAAGGAATGAAAGAAAAATGTTGGATCACAACTAGATTTCAGGATTTTCAGACGTTCGTTAACCTTACCAATGTAGGAAAGGTAATGTTAACGGGGATTTAATTCACTTGTAGAGGTTATTTTTCAACTGGCGATCTTCCATACCTTAGCACATATTGAGAAAGAGGAAGAGGTGCACTTCAAGGTTTAAATATTTACCTCTGCTTAATTCATACAATTACAGTGTATCGCTTTATCAGTCATTGAACCGAAAAACAAATAAACATTCTGATTATTACAGAGGTGCGCTAAATTTGCGAGGAGAAAAGAAATACGTCCTCATCACACTTCATACTGATTTCTGGAAAACTGATGACCAGCCTTGTGTAAACAACGTCGATTTGTTCCAGCTATCTGACCATTTTTTACATGGCATTATAAATTTTAATAGTAATATACACATGTTTATAGCTTGACAAAACAACTCAAATTGAAACTGATTTTCAATATTTCTTTCTTGTTTATTTTACAACTTCCTGTCACTTGGTTAGTGAGTAACTGCCAACACACCATTAAGAAGATGTAGAAAAATTCCCTCCAACCAGGTAATGCCATTTCAAAGTAAATAGCAACAGCAATTCACCCAGCTTGTTGACCATACTCCAAACTTGATTCATAGAATTCAGCCACAACCGGCACTAAGGCGCACTAGAAAGGGTTGTGTTTTGCTTTTTTCATGGGATTTCTGCTATGCTTCTTCAGTCGAACATTCAACTACCTACAGACGAATAAAAATACACCTGCTGGTGAAATTATCCAGCATAGAGATTGTTTTTAAAACTGAATTGGGGAAATGTGTATTTGTGAAGCAAAGAGTAATGCTTCTGTACTGAAGTCTTTTTTGAAGTTACTGTAGCAGTGTTTATTATACAGGATGGGGTTGCTAGCCTCATGCCCAACCTTTCCTCTTCACCAGCTTTTAGTCCTGGCTTAGCGAGGTAAAGGAGTGCGCCACCCGGGGATCGAACCCCGGACCACGTGCATGGTCGGCGAGCGTTCTAACCGCTATGCCACCGACCCACACTGAAGTCTTAACTTAAAATTATTTATTATTAAAAAGATTAGTAATGTCAACCTTTATATTAGTTGCTTTAAATCGAGGGAAAATGATTCAGCAATCTCTGTTCTGACTGATACATTCATGTTTTGATATAACTATTCTCATGATTTATAGGGTACAACTGGTCTGATTTATTTCTCAAGGTTATGTATGCATATGAACGCCCCCTCCCGGAAACAGTCGTAGTGAAATCAATCTTACACATAGAGAATATTATCTGGACAAAAACTAGTTTACGACATGCTTTTCCATTATCCACACAAATGGATTAAAATTCAATGGGAAACTCAAAAACAAAATCTGTTTATTGTTTTCCTAGATGATGCAAATATGCAAACAGAAAACACACCGGTCATTCGTTTCTCTGAGTAAAGCATATGAATTCAGTTTTAAGAAAAGCATCCAACTGTAGAAAAGAAAAAAGTGTTTATTTGTTTCCCATTCAAAGGAGATGCAATGTCACAAAAGATTGACAGAAGACTGAAAGGAGCAATAAATAGAAGCTTCCCGGCAGCAAAACTCGTAACAGTATACAACACCACTCCTTCCATGATCCACTCAAAACTGGATAAATACCCTGCTGATGTCACCTCCAACTGCGTTTATGAATTTACGTGCACTTGCGGGAGCAAGTACATTGCAAAGACGAAAAGAAGAGCTTCTATCCGGTTTTCTGAACATATTCCAAGAAACCTATGCCTGAAAGGAAGCAAATATTCTCAGAGTGCAATTACCAGACATATTGTTGATACCGAACATCTTCGTAGAGATTTCTGAGTCCTTCAAAATATTAAACAGATGAAGGACAGCAAATTTACTACGATTTGCCGAAGCGATCACAATCAAACGATTTAAACCAGACTTATGCATACAGAAAGGGAGAGTGTGATTTACCTCTCACTCCCTTGGTAACTGAATTTTGATTTTGATTACATCAGTTAGTCATCTAATTCAGTGATCTCAACTCACTGAACAAATCTTAATCTTATAAACTGTAACCGCCTTTGCTTTTTGGAGTTGCTATATGAACCTACAAGCTAACACTGTTCCTGTTAATCAATTTTTCTGTTTTCTGTCTTAACCCTCCCCCCTCTTTTCAACTTTGAAAGTGTATAAACTGATGATGATAACTTAAACTAAAAATTGTAATGCTTTCATTCTTTTTTGGATGCGTCAATTTTATCTTTTCTCTACTACTACTCAAACATTAAAGTATGTTATTATTATTTATATAACCATTGTAATTTCAGGTAGTTTGCAGTTAGCTGATGAGAACCTGTGAAATAGAATGATATCATTTTATACTGCAAATTTCGTCTTCCTTTCTCTATCGGAATTCATTTTTAAAATTGGTTTCCAAATAAACTGTCAAAAATTAAGAAAGCGTATCAAAGTAATACTCGCGTTATCAAGAATAGTGAGGTTTGTGATATATTATATTATAAATATTATTCCCTTGAGTTCCGAGTGGAACATAGAGCTTCAGCAATACATCTCCACTTTGTCCTCTATTCTGCCGTCCTCTTCAACTTGGATCACGATTGCTCACAATCTGTCATCTCCTTCATGTCGCCCTTAGACTAACGACCCATTCGTCGCTTCCCATCGGGATTCCATTCGAGCGATGGCCTGACAGGTGATGTCATTCAGTGGCCTCCTCAATGTATGCCCGATCCATAACCACTTTCTCCTACATATTTTTTGAGCGATCGACTCTTGGTTAGTTTGTTCCCACAGTTTCTTTTTGCTTATTCTTTCTGGCCATTTGATCTTCAGTATGAAGCCAGCCAGCGAAGGTTGCATCTGTTGATGAAAGTCTGCAGCAGTCCGTTGGAAATCCTTTTCGTTACTGACACGCAGTGCGAGTTTCTGACCCGTATAGAAGGACTGACTTGACATTGGTGTTCTTTATGCCGACTGAGTGAAGAAGATTTTCAAACTGGTTTCAGGTTAGTGAAGGCGTATCTTGCCTTTCCAATTCTGGCCTGCTTTGACATCTTCATCCATCCCACTGGCCTTTAGTTGAAACGATGCTCCCTAGATTGGTTTAGGAATTTATCTCTGTTAAATCTCTCCCGATGATGGTGATTGGTGCTGGTTTTCTGTTGATAGCAAATAATATATATATATATATATATACGATAAATAAACTTAGAATATTTATACGTGATGGAACTTCTGTTTCAAGGGATAGAAAACATCTTTGCCTTCTAGAAATTTCCGAGGAAATTTAAACAGTTCAACAAGAGGATAAATAAATTTATTAGGGAATAATTTAGCATGATTTACAATACTTAGAAATACATTTGAACCATCAGTGAATTAAGGCGGAAGATTTAAACTGTGGTAGAATAAACATTTTAAAAAAATTTTGAAGAGAGAACTGTAACAAATTCAAGGAATTTTAACTGAATTGAGCATTCATGTCAAATAATAATTCGTTTGGAGTAATTATGAGAC